TTTTGGAGTTCAGTTAATGATGATTATAGGAGTTACTTGATATTGTTATCTTTTATTTTATTTTGTGGTTGATTTATGTAAATTATTGTACAAATAAAAGAATTAAAAATTAAAAAAATTGTAAAATGACCTACCACAACGTTCACTAAACGTTGTAGAAAGTGTCTATGACAACGTTCGTGGAAGGTTGCAGAAAGTGTCTACGGCAACGTTCATTCGTGGAAGGTTGCAGAAAGTTCATTCGTGGAAGGTTGCAGAAAGTATCTACGGCAACGTTCATTGAACGTTGCCGTAGACACTTTCCGCAATGTTCAGCGAACGTTGCAAAAAGTTGGAACTCTACGGCGACATCAAAGCCCACAACATGCACCCGAACGCTGTAAAAGGTCTACGGCAACGTTTTTCGCGCGTTGCCATAGGCTGTTTCTAGTGTAGTGTGGTTACTTCAGAGGTGTCGATTGACGGAGTCATGGCTCCGTTGCCTAATCCAGTCGAGGTTTCCTTTCGAGCCTCGGCAACATGCCTGCGTCTAGGGGCGGACCCAACACCCTTCAATTCCTCTGGAGAAAAGAGAAAACAGAGAAGAAAAGAGGAGGAAGAAGAACTGGGACTCAAGGCGAGCCTTTTTTTTATACAGTTTTGGCCCATTTGTAATGGGCTGTGAAAGTTGGGCCCTTTTTTATGAGGCCCAATTAAATGAAATAATTTTCGTCATCCTCACATACTCGGCTGAGGCTCCAAAGTCCAAACCCTTCCATTTACTCCTTCACCGGGCGGCGAATCGACAATCTTCACTTCTCCTTCTCACTACTTTGCTACCATCGTTCTGCCAACGCCATTGCCCTTTGAGAAAAAAAATCCAAAATCCCTTTGAGAAATGTAGAGATGAGAGGGGTTTCGTAAATGGAAAATAGCGTAAAGCCGGTGTCAAATTGGCAGATGTAGTAGCAAGAAAGAGGATGTTGCGGCGGCATATACAAAATCTGGTGGGTCATCTAGGTTTTGTTCAATTTCAACGAAAAATATAGGTAAATTTTTTAGTTATATTTTTCGTTCTTGTATTATTTCTTAAATTGAGGGAGGCCATGTGATGGTATCTGTGCAATATAAATGCACCATACATACATTCATAAGTTATTGAACTTCATTGAATCATAAAGTTTTTTTTGTGAGGAGGGCCGTACCACTAAAACTCGCTAGGAGGATAAATCTTTAAGTTTTTTATGGATATTCAAGAATAAAATCCCATTATATTTAGAAAGTTCAAAGATCAAATACCTTTTTTTTCCAAATATTACTTGATTTCTTTGAGATTTTAAGCCTACTCTCAACATATGAGTGATCCTAAGATCTCCAATTTACTTTGTTTTGATAGGCTAAAATGCACAATTGTTATGACTGACTATATTTGGGAAGATTAAACAGATTGATGATTAGGTATCTGAAGTGCGGAAACTTGTATTGAATACTTGGAAGTTAACACATATATATAATTTTTACGTTTAAGTGCGTTTACATATACATTGAATAATATTTAATATTATTTAATTAAACATTAATAAACGACATCGCTCTTACGATCGCTGATTATCGACGGTCAATGGTCAACATGCATCCGGGCTAAACTTTTGTGTTGGGTCCGCCCTTCCCTGCGTCCTGAACCATCTCGAGTTCACCCTTCGTATTCGCTACCGGAGATCTAGGTCACAGTAGTTCAAGTTATTTTAGGTCAACTCGCTTGCAACATGTGTTCCTTGTGTCTGGTCCCAGTTCTGCTGGTACTGGTGGGGTCGTGTTAGGTGCGATAAAAGGAATTTCCGTTCTACTTACAAGCCTCAGTCGTCGGAGATGACAACGAAATTGCAGCCAAGGATGGAATCGCTGATAAGAGCTCCAACAAGGCCAAAAGACCTGTGTCCTCTAGCAAGTGAAGGAACTCCCGAAATCTTCGTCAGAATTTCTAAACCCTAAAATCTCATCTTTTGAAACTTGAGATTTTAATTGTTTTTCAAATTTCAATTCCTTCAAAGTACAGCAAGAATATCTGTACATATATATACACTTTGATGTATAAAAACTCTGTAATTGTTTTAGGTGCAAATCACTAGGAATCGATTTGACCTTTTTTAAATAAAAAAAATCCAATTTGAAGTATTCTTCCCATTGATTTTGGTTGAATATATAGCTTCTCTTGGCCTTTAGTAAGCAAGTTCTTGTTCTCTATCATTTGGATTTCTAATAGTTTTTTCCTCTTCATTTTTTATTTCTTGTTGGGATGGATGTGGGAAAAAAATAATTTGCTTTGTACTTTACCTTAGTTAAACTTGTTTAATTAATAATTGGTTTTATCTGTACTATTACTTATAACACTCTTATACATGGATTTGTTACACCCATCAGAATTCTTTGTAAAAGAGGAGAACATGGGCAAGCTTATGATTTCATAAATCGAATGGAAAATAAAGGTCTATAACCTAATGTAATTACATATAATGTTTTCTTGATGGGTTCTGTAGACTAAGTCAAATACAAGTAGCCAATATGATATATAAGAAGATGGCTGCATAAGTCTTGACAGATCTACATACATGTTCGTGAAATTTTGCAAGTGTATGGATCGTGACAAGTAATAAAGTAGATTTATCAAGTCTAAATATCGTCCCACAGAGACTACTATTTACTATAAACTTTTAAACCAATCTAACTTCAATTTAAATTAAAATGGTAACTAATGATCAAATTAAGTTTTTTTTAAGCGAAATTCTAATAAATAAAATAACAAACTATTAAATAAAATAACCAACTCAAATTAAAACTATAGATAAGATTGTGTGATTTGATAGTTAGGATTTTCAATTTCATTTAGGTTTTTATCATACATTTAATTCCAATTTATTCAACCAATTTTTCATACGTGCCAACAATCGAATTAACCTATTGTATTTAGTGATCTTTCTCAAACAACACTAATTATATTCATATACCCGAACTTATTATATCTCTATATAAATTCACACGCATATGAACGCATTTATCTTTAGGAATTAAAAAAAGATTGCACAGCTTATAATTATCTCTTGATCTCTTATAATGTCTATGTTAATTATTGTATGAGCTAGAATTATACATCACCTCTCAGTTTCAGTATTATCCCTAAATCAATTAATTGTTTCACAAATGATGAGTGAAATTAACTCATTAAACAAGTTCCTTTAAATCGTAATTTTTAGTTTGTTTTTGAGCACTTTTGAGCGTTTTGATGCGTGTGTTCATGTTGTTTTATAGTTAGACACTTT